TAAGTGTCTTCATTACCATTGTTGAATTTCCCCCATTTTTTTTTTTTTTTTTTACTTTTCCCATAGAGCCCACATTTGCTGACCACCAGGGTTTGATAAAAGTTCTCTCTCATTATCTCAAGCAGCTCAAAATCTGTCTAAATGGGATTCTAGTAAGGATGGCTACTGACTGAATACCAGACTGTCTTTCTAAATAACATGGGCTCAAATGCTTAGAAGAGCACTTCATTTTAATAGTCAGACACAGAATATATACCTACAATGATTATAAACTATTATAGACCCCAAAAAAGTCTGTTAGGACAAGAATTCAGGAATCTGATCTCCTGAAAAAATACAGCTGACATTCACCTGTAACCACAGTCCATTTTAATATAGTTTTATCATGACATTGGTCACAAAGCAAAGATCAGTGAAGAATTCACAGAGTCAGAGCATTTCAGAGCCAGGAGAAAAGTGGTTAAGTGGTTATTTAGTTCAGTTGTCCTGGTTTATAAATGAGGATACTAAAGTGAGAAGAGGTTACAATTTAACAAAGTTCACAAGGCAGAACTTGGGACTGCAGTTCTTTCCACAAGGGTAGGTGCTCATGTCTCAGCGACCTTCTGTGGAAGAATCTCTTTATTGGCTGGGCTTTGGATCTCATGCTCTTTAAGGGCCTCTGTAATTCTTACCCTATAGTTACATGATATGCCTTCACCTGCCTCTCTCGGTCTGTGAATTTAGGTGCTTTAGGCCCCCACACTCTATGTGAGCTCAAGAGTGCAGGGAGCTTGTCTGTCTGTAATCTGTGTATTTGCACTGTGCCTGGTACTTCCTAGGAGCTCAGTGAGTCTTAATTTCTTTCCTTTCTGTTCTGGAATATACTTATTTGATTGAATTGACATGGTTGTGGAAGAGGGTAGGTATTTGAAGGAGGGAGATTGCAAGTAATCCCAGCAAGTATGGAGGGTAGGAGAAAAAAGAAATGCCAGGAGGGGATGGAAGAGTAAATGAAAAGAAAGACAAAGGGTAGAGGAAAGTCAGAAAAAGATCACATTTAAATCATAAATCTGGTTCCCGCTTAAATGCAAACATGAATCCAGAGTATGTCACATGTTCAGCCAGTGCCTGTGATTATGCAAATTAATTAAAAAGAAGGAGGAGAGGGGAAGAGAGGGGACACTAGGTTCAGATGGAAGTTCTCTCAAAGATCTGTTAGAATCTCTTCCTTCCTCAGAGATGTTTGGAGAAGGGTATGGATTCCATTTATGCTACTGCTATAAGAAAGAGGAGGCTTTTGGCCTTGAGCAGGCACAGGGAGGCAGTTTTCACTGCAAAACCGGATGGGGTCTCATTATCCACACACTGTAGGCAGGGTCAATTCTTATTGTATTAAGCTAGCAGGTGTCCAGGGAACCAGTTTGCTTTTGTTCCTTCATTTTCCTATGGAAACCTCTCAGAAGTACTAATTTTACCCTTAACCCAGCGAGAAGCTTGGGGCAGCCCAGATGCCCTAACTGCCTCTTGCAAGCTCAGGCTCCAGGAAAGATAGGGGCAGTTGGCAGTGAGACTTTTCTTCCTCAGCTAGTGCTCCGAGTCAGAGAGCATGTAATCTTGGATGCAAGCTGGCAGGGGAGTGGTGGCAGCCTTTGCTAGAGCTTTGTCCCTGCTTCCTAAGCAAGCACCTTGGAACCTGGACAAGTTGAGGCTGGGGCCCAGACATCAGGGGTGCTTGGAAAAGTGAACCTTTCAGAGTCCCTGGCATCACACCAAGCCTGATCAGCCTGCTGTGTGCAGGAAATATTGAACATTCTGAGTCTTAAAGAGGGAACCTGGAATAGATCCAAGATTACACTTAATATATCTTCTGGGAGCTACAGAGAAGGGAGACTGGGGAAACTGCAAAAATAAGCCTTGCAGGGCCAGGAGAGCACACAGAATCGGCAGATATAGGCAATAAGTAAGAATAACAATCATTTTTTTCTCAAGGAGCACATACAATTTCCAAAGCTCATTCATACACATGATCTCTGATCTCTTTGTTCCTTCTTATGGTTCTGAAAAGTAGGCAGGAATGTTACTTTAGAAAAATTACTAGATTATGTATCTGTATGTTTCCCACAACACTTAACCTAGCAGGTTGTCCAGTAAATGGCGAGTAAATAGATGGATGAATGAGTGGACAAACTTGCATTTTGCAGGTGACAAACTGATTCAGAATAATTAAGTTCATTGGAAAGCATTGAACATAGGGAACTTACTACATGCCAGGTATCATCTAGCCCCTGGGAAGATGTGGTCCTCTAGTTTCAGGAGGTCACCATCTAGAGGGTGAGATGGCCAGAAATAAGTAACTAATAAGTGATTATGCAATCTGATAAGTACTCTATCTGAGATGGTTTCAGAAGGCTCTGAAAGACAAAAAAGACTAACTACAAGCAAAATGATGCCAGCATGACTTGCTTGGTGTGGTAAGAAGCAGCACTGAAACTAAGAGCCAGGTGTTCAGACTCATCTTTTCTTTGCTGTACCTTTCCCCTGATCAAGAAAATCTCTCTCCTGTTTCTCTCCCCTGCATCTACCCTTGAGTTGTTGCCAATTCATTCCTGAAGTTCTACCATCATCAAACTTTATCTTTCAGCTTTAGGTTATATTAGCTGTTTAAATTTAAATATTCCATGGGAAAGACATTTATGTGAATTAGAGATACGAGAGTAAGTTTTCATGGGGTTAGGGGAAAAGAATACAGAGGTGAGGGGCTCAAGGATTCTGAGCTGTCTGGGGATTTGTGTGGGATAAGAAAGTGATTAGGGAAAGGGGAAAGAAGAAGAAAACAAATAATAAGACTGCTAAAAGAAAGCATTGCCTTTGCAATTTTGCTTTCCTCTCTCTAGCACATTCCTATATCACTATAAATACAATATAAATACTGTATATATTGCATGTATACATATATATGTGTGTATGCATGTGTACACACATATACACATACACACACACCCCAACATAATCTTTAAATCTGTCATCAAAATGAGATGCAAAGTTTTTACCAGTGCTTCTTACATTAACCAGTTCTGTAGTGATGTTTTCTTGATATTTGTGAGCATGAGGCTTCATGTAGCTTGACAACTGTAGGTTTAGAATTTTATTAAAATTCTGCCTTGTTCACAGTCTTATTTCTTTAAGGCCTTATCTAATTGCTTTGGGCCACAGGGCCTACCACCCTGGCCAGATATAAATTTCACCATGTAACTGTGTGAAAGTAATAAACTAATGTATAATAAATAGCAAAGAATTTTGATCATCTGTGTCATAGTGGAAGAAGAATGACTCATAAAAATAATAATTACATAATACATGCTTGCATTTTTTACAAGGTGCATTCATGCTCTCTTTTCTACAAATGCTGTTGGGCATTTGGATATAATCACCAGAAGTCCAGGCATTTCCATATGTAGCCCAAACATCTGAGTTGTGACTGAGAAATGTGATTTTCAGCAGATCACTGAGTTCCAGGTGAACTGTATGTCATTTATCTCTTCTGGGAAAGCATCTGTGAGTCTTCTATGTGATTCAGTTGGCCCTCTTTCATATCTCCAGAGTACTATACATGTGAATTTACTTCCTGATCTCTCCTCACAGAATGGGAGCATTTTGAGGAAAGTGATGGATCTTATTCATCTTTTTTACTCTCAGATATTTGTTAGATGAATGAATAGATGAATGAACGAATGAAGTGCCTACCATGCACATAGACACCTATGAATCTAATATAATGCCTTGCAAAGAGAAGAATCACAATAAATATTGAATTAACATCTATATTTGTGAGTACAGAGATTCAGATCAGCTGTGTTGCATTACAGGGTTTTTTGTTGTTTAAATGTCTCAAAGCCTGAGATGTCATTTTTACACTGCTTCCCCTAGCTCAAGGGAGAAAATCAATAAAAATTATGAAAAAAATTGAAGCACCAGGAGAAGGGGTATGCATTCCCTGTGTTCACTTGGGGAATGAGGCACAGAAAAAAAGCAAACGTGCCTCCCTCAGCCTTTTTCTTCACATTAGAAGTCTGCTGAGTATTTATATATTCCAGGGCCTCTCTATGTAAATCCACATTCCATAAATCCCAAAGCTTTTCTTCTATTACAGAACAAGAGGTATGACAAATATATATAAATATAGTGTATAATATATACATATATACATATATATATATAGAGAGAGAGTAACCAGCAAATGGCTTTTTATCGATCCACCTTTTCTAACAGCCTTTTTTTTTTTTTCCTGCAGACTTCAGAAGTCTGTGGTGGGCCTCTCTCTGTTTGTCTCTCTCTGTCTCTTTCTCTTCAGCAAGCTCCTTCCTTAAGTTCAGAACGTCTAATTGTTTATCCTCCTCCACCTTTTCCTTCCCACAGGTTTATCTGATCTGAGGTCTGTTCATAAACCTCCAGTTTCTCCAGAGTCTTATATTTCCCACCTGCTGCAGCTGGAATTTTATGGCGCTAATCAGATTTTGCTGTTTTTCTTCACACTGTGTCCCTTCCGTATCTATTCTGCCCTCTTGACTCTTATCCCCCCACCCTCACTTTCATGGTATATGCACCTATTAAATGATGTCCAGTCCAGTTTCTGGCACCCAATAAATCTACATTTTCAAGCTCAGGAAACCAGACTCACCCAATGGCACCCAGATAAATGAGTCCTCCATGAGAAACCTACACTGGTCATTACTCAAGACTCCTGAGACTCCAAAACAGGGTTTCCTGCCCAGCAAGTCAAGACCTCTTTCCTCCCTCACCCTCTGAAAAGTCCACAGCACCGGACTTGTCTTCATCTTTGCTCTCTCATACCTCGATACAGATGCTCAGAGTGATTCCCAGCTTCCCACCCGCTGCGCCCAGCAACTCCCACGTCATTCCGCCATAGCAGCATCTGTGAAATGAGACAATATCCGGCACACGTGCCTGCACTGCTCAGGTCACCAGGCCTCCGAGGGTGGAGCTGAACAAAGAACTTGCGTGAAGAGGCTTCATTGTCTGCAACAAGCACAAGCAACAGGGCTCCTCTCCACAATTCCACCGGGGGCGAATCCCCATCTTTGAAGGATTCTATTTCAGCACCTTAAATGTGCTCTCCATCTGATTGATAAGGGTCATGACAGTGTCTCTTGTCTGGGAGAAAGGGGGCTATGGAGGTGGGGGTTATTTGAAAACGAGTTCGCTTCCTGGAAGACTGGTGGGAAGGAGTCAAGAGTAGGGCTGCTGTGGGGGCGATAGAGGCTGGGGTCTATGTTTCATTTGGAGAGGTGGGACCTGGAGACAGTTACCTGTTCTTGGAAAGTTGGAAACTATTTGGATTTCCTTAGTTGTTATTTTGACTTGAGAAACTACCCCCTTTCACTCCTCTGGCCTTCTGCTTCCACACAATAAAAATTAATTACAACGAATCAGAACCTTTAAAACCATCTTTAACAGTACAATGGATTTGTGACTGTCCCTGCTCTGGCCTCTCACCGGACTACAGCTTAAAATCCAATCGGGAAATAGCAATTCTCAAAGGAAAATGTCTTTAAATTAAAGTACCTGCTTTTGGCAGCTTTGGAATAAATCTGGGAAATGATAGAATACTGTGGTGGTTAGTTTTATGTATCAACCTTATTAGACTATAGTAGCCAGTTTTTATTTATTTATTTATTTATTTATTTATTATGAGAGCTGAACTAAGGAGGCAACATCAGAGACAGAGAAAGATACATGGCCTGATATGACACATATTTTGTAGCTAGAAAGTCAATGCATCTTGCTTATGGGTTGAATCAAAATGGTAATTTCATTAGATACACAAAATCTTTTTCTTTAAATATCTAACGCACCCAAAGGAAACTTCTGCCTCATTCTAGAAGTCATTTCTAGAGCTGATTAGCCACCTGTAAACAAGGACAGAACATTTTTGAGAGGTTAAAAGAAACAAACTTTATGTATTTTGACTTTTCCCTCAGCTTTTAAAGCTTCAACATATCTGATCAAGAGTTCTTATACTTCTGATTGGAAGAAAGAAAAGACTCCAATTTTTCACCATGAGACAGAATGTTATTCTCTAGGTACTCTGAATCATCAAAACTGACTAACCAAAATATCAGTCACGTGGTTGTTCCTAGGGATTAAATTTTCCCAACACCCATTCTAGATCTTGAAAAGTCTTTGAGAGCAAACCAATACCCGGTCATTTAATTGAACACTAATCCAGGTGTTGATGTGATAGTATTGTATGAATACGGTTAACAACTATAGTTGATTAACCTTAAGTAGATTACCCTGGATAATGTGGGCCGTATCCAATCAGTTGACAGTCTTAAGAGCAAAATATTGAGGTTTTCTCAGAAATGAAAAAGTTTGCTCTAAGACTGCAACATAGACTTCTGAGTTTTCAGCTTGCTGCCCTGCCTTACAAATTTCAGAATTGCCGGCTCCTATAATTTCTTCAAATACATCCCTTTATATAAAAATATTTATATATGTATCTATATCTATGTCATCTCGATTATATCTATGTATTATTGATTCTATCTCTCTGGTGAACTCTGACTGATAAAGGTGATTAGATATCTTATGATGAATTTGAATTGTTCACTGTGTAAGTAACTTCAGGAAGGATGATTGCTCTTCTTTATCTTCTAAGCCCAAAGCACTGTGCTATGTACTTGTAGGAGCATAATAAATGTTCACTGAAGTGACTGAAAACCAAGAGATGCCCTATAATGCTTTTCACAATTTCTATAATTTTACTTTCAGCGCAAGTGGATATCTTTGTTCCCTCTTGTCCACGTGGGACTGACGAATCAGCCTCACCTAGGAATCCAGCTCTTCTCAGGACTTTCTCATAATATTGTCAAGTACTGATGCCCTTATCTGCCTTTAAAAACTATCAAACAAACCACAACTTCCATAAAACCCTCACTGCAAAGGTCCAGGCATGTAACTTACTCTTACTTCTTCAGCACTTCATCATGAGATTCTTTATGTTAGTTCTGATTTTTATTTATTTATTTATTTGTTTGTTTGTTTGTTTGTTTGTTTGCCTGATATCTTGAAGATGTTGGTTTATCAGCAAGGTTAGCCACATCTTCACTTTGAAATACTTTCTTCTCAAGCCCCTGGTGTACCACTCTCTCTGAGTTCTCACTGGCAATCCCTCCTCAGGTTTGTTTGTTTGTTTGTTTGTTTTTATTCTTTCTTATTCTCCCGACTTTTAAAATTTTGAGTGACACAGGACTCTTTTCTCAGTTTATAGACACTTGAGGGAGGAAAGGAGTGTTCATCTAATTCCATGGTTTTATCATCTATATACTGAAAACTCCCAATTTCTATATCCACCTTGTCCTCTCCTGAAATCCAGACCCATATAGCCATTGCCTACTTAATCTCTCTGCTTGGATGTCTAATAAACATCTAAAATTCATCACATCCAAAAACAAACTCCTGATTTTTTCGTGAAATCTGTTGCTCTGAAATTTTTCCAGTTTCAATAAATGACAATTACATTCTACAATGTACTCATCTTTAAAACCTTGTAATCATCTCTGACACAACATTTGTTATCATACCCTGAATCGACTCCAATGGCAAATGCTATAGATTCTACTTTAAAAACATATCCAGAACTTAACCACTTTTACCACTTCTACTAACACACTGAGTCTAGTCCAAATCACCATTCTCTGTCATGTAGATTATTTTAACAGCCTCCTAACTGTCTCCTTTCTTCCCCTTTACTCAGTTATAGTTTATTCTTAAAATAATATCAAGTGATAATCTTAAAACAGTCATTTCACATCTCTCCTTTGCTCAAAATCTTTTGATAGCTTTCCATCTCACTCAAAATGAAAGCATGATTAAGGGCCCAAGGCCCTATATAATCTATCTGTAATGGAAGCTTAATTTCTACCCCTTTCTTTATCTACCATAGGTATGATCATCCAGCTTCAGTTACAATCTCCTTGCCATTCTTTAAACACAATGAAATATGCACCTACCTTAGGACCTCTGTAGATGCTGCTCCCTCTACCTGGACATTTTTCTCTTGCCTATCCACATGAATCCCACCTCTAAGCCCTGCCCTGATGTCTACATGGAATAGTCCCTCTCTTCAGAGAAGAGACCTTCTCAGAGATCTGAACCTGATCACCTTATATAAAAGAAAGTACTCTCTCTCATCTCTTTATACGCTCCTTAACTTGCTTACTTTTTATAGCACTCATGAATACCTGACATATTATATAGTATTTTATTTACTCATTATCTATTCCTACTAAAAACGAGTTCTATGGTATCAGGAGCTTTGTCTCTTGTTCATTGTTGTATTTACTAGCATTGAGTAAATGACTTTTCCAAAGCACCCATATATACAGGTCTGAAATTGCAACCAGAGAGATTTGGCCATAGAGCTAAAGTAAGTTCAAATGATAAAAGCTTCAAAATAGTACTTTTCAAACTTTGGATCACTTGTTATTGTGCTTAAAGATCAGGATGAATTAGAGGTGTAGATGATATAAGTGTACTTTGATTAGAAAGAGGTGATTTTCTTTATTAGAAACCCTCTAAAAATAGTCAGTTTATAATTCATGGAGCAGTTTATAGCCTATGTACACAATAGATGCAAAAGTATTTCCTAAAAATCTATTTAAAACTTAACATGGATGGTAATCGGGGCAGAAAACAGCACATTTAAATAGAGCAACTGATAATGAAGGGGCTATTTGCATAGGTGTAGGAAGGATTAAGGAAAACCAACCAGAGGTGTTGAAGTAACCAGGGGAAAGCCTAAGCTGAAAATTGTGACCATCTAAGCCCAAACATTCAAGGGTAAGAGTTCCAGCTTCTGAAAAGAGTAGCTAGCTTTAGCAGAAATGCTGTCTGAGGTACAGCTGTCTCAGAGCATCCAAATAGGGAGAGATTCAGAGGTAATAAAAAACCCCTAACTCATTGCTGCCCTTCCCTTCTACAGCTAATGCCTCCCTTGACAGTTTCCAAGTAGACACTAGGAGACATGGATGGAACCCACAATGGTCAGCCTCCAGGGGGCCAGAGCAGGGTACAGAGGGATGGAGAAAAGATCTGAAGGACCCAATGCAGAAGACCCAGCAGTTTGCTTAGTAATGAACAACTTCTGAACAAGTGAAGGATTTCATGAGTACTTTTCTGTCATGTCCGAAATATCTAATAATATATATGTATTTATTTTATTAATTGTTTTTGTTTTTGTTTTTTGGTGGTGGTGAGATTATGGACTCCCCTTTGTTTTGCTTTTCTGTATTAAAATTATATTGTTCTTTAAAAATTAATATGGGACTGTATGATTCTATTTGTATGAAGTTAGAAAGTGGCTAACCCAGTGTATGGTGATAAAAGTTAGAAGAGTGGTTTTCACTGAGAAGGGGTTGGATATTGACTGGGAAGGGGCAGAAGGGATCCCTTCTAGAGAATGTGTATTTTGAACTGTGTGGTGATTACATGAGCATATATATAGGTAAAACTTCATTGAGCTATACACTTAAGATTTATGTATTTTATTGTATGTAAGTTGTACTTCAATTAAAAAATATATCATGGTTATGTCTTTGGATGTTCAGTACATGTAATTAATATTTTTACATGTTTATACAATCTGTATGATCATTTGTGTGCCAGATCTGCATTGTCTTACCCACACTCTCTATACTTGGTACCAGCGCTCAGTCTTTCAAGGGGAAAAGATAGGGGAAGAACATAGACTAGTCTCAGAGAAAGCTACAGACAATTACCTTCAATTGAAAATAAACATAATAAAACTAAAGAAGTCTAATTTTTGCAACTTGAGAGGATTTTTTTTCTGCAGCTATTCACTTCTAATCACTCTCACCTAATAAATGAATAGAATAGCTAATGTGATTACACTAATTCACTATTCATCAAGAATATTAAGTAAATAGAATATTTTGCATTTTTCTAGTCACACATCTTGAGTATTTACCTGATGTTACAATCAGATACATATTACATTTTTCTCTCTGCTTCTGAGCCATAGCTCATGGATAATTATAGTGTTTAATTAGCCCCACACAGTACTTGGCTCTCTGGTGTGGAGGGAAATTACAAGATGTAGAAAGAATAAATCAAAGACTGTAATGGAAAGAAGCCCTTTGCTATACTTACCTGGAAGCGTTTGCAGGGGCCATGGTCAGTGCAGGGTGAATTGTGTTATTCCACTTGAATAGAAAAAAAGTTGCTTTTCATAAAGCTTTTAAAAGTACCTTTTTTGAAATATAGTTAGTGAGCATGAAATGGAAACTAGGTAGAGAGTTTATTGTGTTTATGAAGAGGACTTTTTCCCCAGACCATTCTCTACTGTCTCTTGCATTCAACAAAATCCTAAAATCCTTAGTCCTGCCTAGCAATCCAGACAGGTGAC